GCCATTGGGGCGCCCGGGGGAAAGCAGGAGGAGGTGGCAGGATGGCTGCGAGGGCTGGAGAAGTTACCCCTCCGAGGCTGCTTTTTTCCCCTTAAAACAACCCCCTGTCAGTCACCCATCCTGGGCGCAGCAGCGCCGGGTCGGGCACTTCCAGAGGTCCAAGTGGCATCGAGCTCGGATGCGCGGCTGGATCCGGCCGAGGTCCCCTCCCCGTCCGTGGGCCCCGTGGGGTGGGAAGCCGCTCACCTCCGGTGACCCCCTGTCTCACTGCGCCAGCCCTGATGAGTAACTGCCTCCTCTCTTGACTTTCTCCGCCACGCAGCGTGTTTTGGGACCTTTACTGCGCAGCTCCTGAAAGGCGAGACACTTGTGAACATTCGAGTGAAGCGAAAGCCTTTCATGACTACGTGAGTAACAAGTTTCTAATCCTCGCGGTAATTACGGCGTTGGGGAGCTCCGGCTTCTCCGGTGCATCGACGTAACCCACTGGCAAAAGCATGTGTTGTTTTTTTTGGTTTTTTGGATGTTTTTTTTTTTTTTTTTTAACCAACAGTGTTCTGATTTGACTGAACAGTATTTCATAATGTTGCAATTATGTAAATTAGCTCAGATCCTTATCTTAAGCACTTAAAGGCATTCAGGCTACTGGTAGAATTAAGCAGTTTTGTATAGCAGTGGACAACAAAGCGTTTACTGGAGGATCGATGGTGAGATACTTCATGCTGAGGACATCTCAAAGGGTGGGCAGCGGTTGGATTGTGGTGGGGAGGAGGGAGGGATTCCCCAAAATGCCCCAGTGAATATTTCCCTGCCTTTAGCAAGGCTGGGGGCTTCCTTGGTTGTCCGAGTCCTCCCTCAAAACCAACAAGTTGAAGGTGTTTGCTTGTTGAAGGTGGTGTTGCAGACGCCCCCCTTGGTTGAGGGTGTGTATCTTGTCTGGCAGTGGTTTGGGTCCTTCTCTGCAGGGGTGTTAGTGTGACCCCGGGATGACCCTCCCGGGGCGGGATGCCTCCTAAAAAAATTCTTTCTGGCGAGAGCGCGTGGCGTGTCGGCTCTGGTGGGTGACGGGTGGGCTGCCCGCTCCCGTCCCGCGTGCATCGCCCGCATCCGCAGTGTCGGGAGGAATTTGCATCAAAGGATTAGTCACCTGGCTGCGGGCTTGGACCCCAGTCAAGTGAGTTTAAACCCTCTAGCAGGAGCTGGTTTTGTCTGCTCCGGGGAGCCTATGGTATGGAAACCATTTTTCCTCCCTTCCCGAGTTTCTCGTTGCCTCAACATGCCTGGTTTGGGATGCACGAGGGTTTGTCGGCGAGCAGCGCCGGGTGAGCGTCTCGGGGACCTCCGCGACGCTCCTGCGTGCCGGTGCTGGACGCAGCGATCACCCCGGGGTGCGGGCAGCGCTGGGCGGCCACAGAGCCTCGGCTGCCTGCTGAGCTGCCTCTCCTCTCTGCCCAGGGTGGAAACATGCCCATCCCTCTGGGGCGGGGGGGAAGCGGGTCTGGGTATCTATTTGCTAGGTGAGGGTTTGTCTGTCTGTCCATCCCTCCCTGCGGCCGCTCCCTGCATTGCTTGTTTTTACTGGGTCGGATTAAGATGGTGAACTCCTGAACTGAGGGTCAGAGCTGACAACTGGCAGCGCATCTACTGGTGCTCAGCTTGGCGTGGGAAGCTGCTCGCTTCCTGGGTGTTTTGGGCCAAATTCTGCCTTTTTTGGAGCCCAGTTGGGACAGCGGGCTCATCAGGAGCAAGGCAAAGGTAGATCTTCGGGCAACAAAGCCGCAGGTGAAGATAACATTAACAACCAAGACTTGGTAATGCTTCGTTCACAGCGGTCTCCTCCATCGTGTCTGAGGATTTAGTGTATTTAGAGAAATTAATCTTTTTTTAGCTTGGTAATAACTCTAACAATAGGCCTGAGTGCATTAGATGATTCGCATAAACTTCTTTAATACATGTTGCTTTAAGCTTACAGTAAATAGACACAATCCTGATTGTTTTTAATTCTCAGTGTAATGCAGTTTTGTAACAGCCCCAAGTGCTTTACCTTTTGGGTTTTACCGAAAAGACTTGTAAGAATGTTTTTCTGCTCCCCTTTCCCTTGACTTGGTGGCACTTGTTTGGTTTCCCTGGGCAAGTTTTGGTCTCAAAACAGGGTTGTGCTTCTGCCCGGCGTGGCCAGCGACGGATGGCACGGTCCTTTGCCAAGGAGTAGTGTTTTCCTGGCACGTCATGTACTTTACAGGGTGAGGGACCTACCCAGCCAAAACTTAAATATTGACCAAAGAACCGGGTGATAACTGGGGGAGTGTGAATAGCGCCTTGTTTCTCACCAGCCCTCTGGGCTGAAGCGGGCTGCTGGGGTACTGGTGAGCGCTGTGGCCGGCTTCACTGATGGGTTTTTCTCAAGCGCCAAAACCCCACAACCCATCAGCGGTGTGTGGCAGCTAAAATGGGGTATGAACCCTGAAGGGGGCTGGACCAGTGAGTCATGAATCCCTTCATCTGGTGGTTGTGGTTAAAAATATCTTGATATAGGTCTTGCCCCAGATTGGTAAAGCATTGTATTTACACTTGGCCAACGATGGACAGTGTCTGCGCGGGCAGCTCAGCGTTTGCCTGAAATACAGTGTTTGTTTACCCAAAGACAACGTTTTTACCGTGCCATTCTCAGGGCAAAGCGGGATGCTCTGGGAGCGGCGCAGCAGTGCCGGGCCGGCCGAGGTTTGGCACGCTGCCCTCCCGTAGCCGGTGCCGGAGGGGTGCTCGCCCAGGAGACGCGTCTTTGGGAGGAGGAGCGGTGCACCTCGTTAGCGGGGTGCTAACGGCGAGATGGGCATGCTGCGTCATTTCCACTTCATTTCCCAGCCTAACCCTATGAAAACTATTAGGAGCAGCAGGACAAATCACCAACTTCCCCCTCTAGTTTTTAACATTTAACTCTTTAGTAAGTAAAAAACAAAAAAGGAGAAATCCCACCCCTCTGGGTTTTTTTGGGCAACCCTTGAAAGACGTGGGCTCTTGCAGTGGCTTAGGAATATTGCTTTGTACCTTTCTCCTGAGGTTTTTGTCCTAAGACAGGACAAAAGGCTGCTGGGATTCAGCAGAGGTGCTTGTTGGGAGAGAGGTGGTGGGAGCGGGGATACACCCGGCACGGGCAGGAGGAATGCCGCACTTCTCTTTCCTTCCGTCTCCGTCACGGCTGTGAGTTAACACAACTAACGAGTTGTGCTGGTTGGAGGGTTATTAGTCAGCCTCTCCCACCTGATTCAAAAGAGTTTATCCAAGTTAACAGCGCCACGAGCACCCGTCGACTCCTAAAACTCAACCTGTAGCTGTTGATTTGGGGTCCGCTGCTGGGCAAAGCCCCGAGGCGAACGCACCGGCGTTACGGGGCGCTCCCACAGCCGGCGCAGTTGCAACGGGATCGCTCAGCATGACAGGGGATTTCAGCCGCCGCGTTATCTGCGAATTGGCCGATGGCTGGTCGCAGTTGAGCATTTCAACGCCATGAAAGCCAATACAATTTGAGTTAGCGGTGATGACTGCCAGTTTAAATACCGCAGTGAATTTCTGTCAAAGAGGTAATACATAGAAAGGGGAATTGCAGAAAACTTGATCACCAGAACCACTTCAGTCGATTTTGGCCTCGAGCTACAGAAAATGAACTTAAATCTAGTTGACTGTTGCTACATACTTTTTGTGGTATTGCTCTGCCTGCACAGAGCTTCAATGTGCAGGAGAGAAAAATCAGGGTAGCCGTTGGCTGCCAGAGACTTGACTTCATCCTTCCCTCTGCTCCTCTCTCAGAAGGACCCACACTTGGGAGCACTTGAAGTGCTGTTTTGTTTGCAATGCAAGATCTACGGAGTGGTGGCTTCAACTTGCCATTAACGCAAAGCATTGATTGATTTTTTTTATTTTTTTTTTAACTTTGGAAAGCTGCTGCAGTTCTTTTTAACTTGGGTCTGGAAGGATGCTTTGCTGCAGCGGGGGTGGTTACTGCTGCAAAGGTGGTGGTTGGTCTGGGAAAAGATGGTGTATCTTGTGTCGTCCCATCCTGGTTGGGGACAACCAGGGCTCCTCCTTATTCCCCACCATCTCAAACAGTTCCCTTTGGATTGAGATCTTGGCGAGGGGGTTTCCGAAGCCCCTGGCGTTGGATGGATGTAGCATTCTGCCTTGCTAGTGTTGATGTGCAAGACTGCTCCATGGGGAACGAGGTGAAACCCAAGGAGCTGGAAGGGTTTTGGCCTGTTGGCAGCACATGCTGGGGGTGTCACCCAGGCACTGGGGTTTGATCCCTAAACCCAGCCATTTCACCCCCTGTAAGTTCCCTCCCAGCCCCGCTTTGGAGATGAGGCATGGGCAGTGGTCCTTCTCTGCTGGATCTGCCCATCACACCCCGGCTGGCTGTGGGACAGGCAGCCTGTCCCAGGATCACTGCCTGAGTGTCTCTGAGCTGCTGGGGGTCATCTCCTCACTGTCACAGCATCTCCTGCTTGCCGGAGTCTGTGTGGCACCTCAGCAGGCAAGATGGCTGTGTGGGACCCCTCCTGGGAGGAGATGCTGTGTATGCTTGAGGGTCTCAGTGTGACTGTTGCCTCTCCCGTGCCCGGCTGTTGTCTTCTTCCAGTGAAGACTCTGAGACTCTTGGTCCAAGCACCCACAGCTGTGTGGAGTGGGTGTGGGACCAGCAAGTGTGGTGGTGGTGGTGGTCCATGGACACTTGTGCAGTGGTGGTGGTGATCCATGGGCACCTCTGCAATGTGCCCTTTGCAGCCAGTGTATTACAAACATACTGCATAGGAGAGCAGGTGTTTTTGGGGCAAGTTTGGTGCAATCAGGGGACAGAGGTTTGGAACACCTTTGTGTGGTCCCTGGGAGCCCACATGGGCGTTGCCTGAGCCCTGGGCACAGACTCAGCCGGCAGCACACGCAGCTCCATCCCACCTCTGCACGGGACCGTGCTCTGTCTGGGCTCCATCCAGCTCCGCTCTGCAGGGACAGGGTTCTCCGGTAGGTAACCGGAGAGAGGAGTTTCCTTCGGGAGTGGCAGGCTGCCAGGAGCAGCTGCAAAACTCCACATCACTTCAAAAAAAAAAAAAAAAAAAAAAAAAAAAAAAAAAAAAAAAAAAATTCCCTCTCCCGGCAGCACGCTGGGCTCAGCCTTCCCTCCCAGTTTAGGGTAGTGTGCCCATCCAGCCTGTGAGCCCGAGTGTCCCTTAAACCCTGCTTTAACTGGAGCGCCATGCAAAGCTGGATTAGTTTAATTTTGTATTTTTAACAATATCTGCTGTCGTGATGGAGCGACCTCCGCTGCGGTGCGTCCCGCTGCCCGGCAGTGGGACTGGGGCATTCCAGAGCGGCACCTTTCCATGGGTGGTGCCGGTGGAGAAGCCGTTGGCGC